ACTCCACTGGGGCCTGGGAGCGTGGTAGGGCTGGAAGGCTAGGGTCAGGAGTTCAGCTGGGGCTTACCAAGTGACAAGTGAGCATAGTCCATGGGCAGGAGATGCCCAGCAGGATGGAGAGGGTTTTCGTGTCATTCCCACAGAGGTGGCTTGGTGGGAGTTGATCATACAGAGAGCCTGAGTACAGAGAGAAGGGACTGAGGACAGCTCTGGAGTCAGCCCCTGTATCCGGGGTTCCCCTGAGCCTCAGAGACCATGCTGTGGGCAGGAGGAGGCAGGCACGGGACTTTGCAGGCCCAGGAAGCAGCGAAGGTGCTTTGTGGCTGCCAGAGTACTCTCCTCATACCCAGAGAGGTCAGGCAATAGCACCCACTTCACAGATGTGGAGGGAGCTTAGGGCTGAGAGTGGCAGGTGGGGCCAGGCTTTGGGGTCTCCTATTAGATGGTCCAAATCCTAGGCACTGCCTAGGGTGCGTGGTGGGGGCTGGGTTGGTCAGAGATTCCAGCCTCCCTTTCCTCCATCCTGATGGAGACCTGGTTTGTTAGTCATTGCTGTTATTCCTTTTGAGGTATAATTTATAGACAATAAAATTCACCCTTTTACGTGTGTAGTTTTGTAAGTTTTGACAAATGTATAAGTTGTATAACCACCACCACTATAGAAATATTGAGCATTTGTCACCATAAAGCTTCGTTTGTGCTGCTGTGAAGTCATCTCTCTTCCTCTTCCCCAAAGTCTGATCGCCACTGATCTTTCTATCTCTGTACTCTTGCCTTTTCCAGAATGTCGTACAAACGGAATCAGGCCGATGTGGCCTTCTGAGTCTGACTTCTTTCGCTTAGCGTGCTCTTGGGGTTCCTCCTTATTGTCTCGTGGTCTTGCTCACTTTACTGCAGAGTGAGCAGTTCACCGTGTGGATGTGCCACGCTTGATCTGTCCGTTCACCAGTGGAAGGACTTCTCAGTTGTTTCCCGTTTGGGGTTATTATGAATAAAGCTGCTATACATTTATGTACTCGTCTTTGTGTGGGTTTGCATTCATTTCTTTTGGGTAAGTGCCCGTGAGTGTCATGTTGTGGGTATTTCACTTTATAAGAAACCGCCAGGCCATTTTCCACAGTGGCTGCACCGTTTTGCATCCCAGCAGCCACGAGTGAGGGCAGTGTGGGAAAACATGGTGTGCATTCCCGTGTTTTGGTGGAAATACACTTATCACGGAGGTAGTGTAATATAATAGAATGCTGGTGTCTGCATATGATGATTATAGGTAGCACATGGATGAACATTTTTTTCCATATTTTACCAGCTATGACCATAATTTGACAGGCATTTAAAAAATGCACCCAGCACACCAAACCCATGTTTTCTTGGCTATTTAGCTGAAAGGCCTAAACACAGGCCCTGCAGTCAGATTGCCTGGGTTTGGCGCCTAGAGCCTCTTCTTGCTGTCTGTGTGACCTTGGGCAAGCCACTCAGTCTCTCTGAGGCTCGGATTCATCATCAGTAAAATGGGCTGAGAATGCCCCTCCCTACCTCCTAAGTTTGCTTAGAGGGTGAAACCTGTAAGTGTATGTAAAGCTCCAGTTCAGAGCCTGGCACATGTCAGCCACTGGAGAAACTGCTGCCATTATTATTAGATGGGCATGGCCCATGTGTGAGGGGTGTGTGTTTTGTGTGCACTGTTTTGTACCTCCATGTGTACATGAATCCAGGGGTGTGTGCACAACACATATGGAAAGGTGTGATTCCTGGTCTAAGGGATAAGAGAAAGGGTGAGTCTCTCTCCCCTCTCTGTCTTCCAGGGTCCGGATTACCTTCATGCCTTCATGTGCTCACAGGTGTATGGGTGCACTCATGAGCCTGCATTTTGAGGCCACAGGTCTGAGTGCGCCTTGTTCCTCCAGGGACCAGGGCTCCCCTGTCCCCTTCTCCAACTATTCTACTGTCAGCGGGGTAGCTGGGTTCGTGCTGCCCTTGTCCACCCTGTGGAAGGGAGGCTGTGGGAATGATCCTTCCAGGGCCTGGGTCTCTGGCCTCTGGGTGTCTCCACTATATTTGCTCACAGCCAATGATTTCTATATTTTTACCTAGGGCCCCAGGACCCCAAATGGGATGGGTGGGAAGAAGAGGAAGCATTTTGAAGGAATCTGAGGTCCTGCAGTTGGTCCATGAATTGGAATCTGAGCAGAGGCTGGGGAGGGGGCCCATAGGAGAGTCTCTAATCAGCTGCTGGGCACAGAAGTTTTAAAAAATTGCTTTATTGAGGTATAATTGACACACACTAAACCACACATGTTTAAAGTGTACAATTGAATGGGTTTTGCATAGTCTCATGAAACTAACACCACAATCAAGATAGAGAACACATCCATTACCCTAAATGCCCCTTGTGCCCATGGTGATCCCTCCCTCTCCCCCCACCATCCCTATGCAACCAATCTGCTTGTTATCACTATGGCTTAGTGTGCATTTCTTAGAGTCGATACAGATGGGGCAGAGTGGAGGGAGAGGAAAGGTTTTGAAAGGAACGGAGGCCCTGTGCTTTCGCCATGGATTGTGTACTCATTTTTTTAAACTGGCTTGTTTTACTTGGCATAATTATTTGAAATTTACCCATGTTGCTGCCCATATCAGGAGTTCATTCCATGTTTACTGCTGAGTAGTATTCCACCGTATAGGATGTAGCACAGTTTGTTATCCATTTGCCCAGCAGTTATTTTTTCCCTTTATGCTTTTATTTCTGCGTATTGTATATATCCCTAAACAATGTGTAACGTTAGCTTTACCAGAGGCATTTTTTGAAATCAAGAGTGAAACTGCCTGAGCCTGGCATATACCCAATGGGTACCACTTCCAGGCAGAGTGTCTGTAGCCAGTGCCACCCTTTGCCCTTCGCCCCAACTGTCACCTTCCCTGGAATGACCTCCCTTGCTCTGCACTGTGCAGGGGGCACTTAGCCTCTTCCAGGTAGCCTTCCCAGACTGTCTGGGTCTCCTCTGAGCAATTCAAATCCTCACTGCTTGATGGCTTTCAAAGCCCTTGAGCACTGTTTGGCGATTCCAGTCTTCTCTCCTTGGTAAGAGCAAGGCAGCTCCTTGTACCACCCCCACCTCCCATCTCATGGGCCTGGCATGCAGGAAGCTGCTCCAGAGAGGCCTAGGGTGTCCAGTTGGCCCTGGACAGTGGACACTGGTGTCTGTGCCCTCTGGCAAGGAGGAAGCAAAAATGCAGTGATGCAAAGTGATGCAAATTCGCCCTGGACTGCAGTCTGGGTGTCCTCCCTCCTGCTCTCTTCCCTCCCTGACTTCCTCTCCTTCCTGGAAACCCCTTCTCCCCTTTAGGGAGTGGCAGGCTTTCTGGGCAGGCCTGATGCTGACCAAGTTTTATGCATTTTAAAATTCCTGCCTCGGAGGGACCAAAATTTGAAACATCCTAGGCCTCTGTCATATTTTGAGGCTTTCTACTTCCACATCTCCATCTCCCCTTCCTCAGTGTCTCTCCTCAAGATGGGTTGGGAGGGGGATGCCCTTCCTGATGCATGGTGCACAGATTTGGGGAATAAATGAATACCCCCCAGCCCCTAACTGCCAAGGCTGTGCATTAATGCTGCCAGTGCTCTGGTACACATCTTAGAGCCACAGGGTAGAGGCCACCCACTGTGCCAGAGAGGGGAAGTGACTTCTCCATGGTCACATGACCAGTAGGGACAGACACGAACCATTTGATACCTTGTCTTATGTTTTTTCTTTTCTCTGTCTTGTCTCCTGGTTGTAAAGTGCCTTTTCCTGGACCAAGTCCTGTCCCATACTCTATCCTATTCTGGGGTGCAGTGGAGCTGTCTGTAGGAGAGCTGTACCTCCCTGGCCAGGGGTTCTTGAGGCAGATCTGAGTTCTGTTAGGAAGCCTGGGTAAAGAGGCCACCTGCGTCCAAGATGCAAGCATGGGCAGAATGAAATAGGAAGGCAGCCTCGGGTGGAGGGAAGTGGTCCTGAAGGAAGGAAGAGGTGGGCGTGGTCCTGGGGCTACAGAGGTTGCCCCGTCCACCTCCCTGGTCTCCAGTGGCAGCCCCATGGTCACCTGTTCACTATAGCACAGCCTTGTCAGTCAAGCTCCATTGCCTTCTCACCCTCCCCTCCTCCAGGAGGCCCTTCTGAGACGTGACCTGCCTGTATGTCCTTTTGGCACATATTGCTGCCTACCATTTGTATCTGGTTTCTGTCCATGTCTTACCTCCCTTTCTGGACTGTTGGCTTCTCGAGGACAGGATCCATATATGTTTCATGCCTACATCTCCAGGGCCTAGGACAGGCTTGGTATTCAGCAGATACGTAGTGAATATTTGTTGGAAAGAATAAATGATGGTGGTAGTGAATACAGTGTATGGTGGTGGATGTTGGTAGTAAATGCTGATTGGTCACAAAGGTTGAAGATAGAAGGTAGATGGTGGTAAATACTAGTGAGAAACAGTAGATGGTAGCTGTTGTTTTGGTCATGGTGGTGGTGGTGGGAGGTGATAGATGAAGGGCAGAGGTAGGTGGTGGTGGGGGGAGGTGATGGGTGAAGGACGAAGGTAGATGGTGGTGGGAGGTGATGGGTGAGGGATGAGGGCAGATGGGAGGTGATGGGTGAAGGACGAAGGTAGATGGTGGTGGGAGGTGATGGGTGAGGGTAGATGTTGGTGGCAGGTGATGGGTGAGGGATGAGGGCAGATGGGAGGTGATGGGTGAGGGACGAAGGTAGATGGTGGTGGGAGGTGATGGGTGAAAGATGAAGTACGATGAGGGTAGATGATGGTGGGTAATAAATGGTGGCAGATGGTGAAGTGGGAAATAGCATGGGAGCAGGAGAAGAATGGTGGCAGAAGGTGGCCGTGATGGTGGAAATACTGGGAAGTGGGTGGCTTCTGCTTACGTCCCATCCATCTTCCCTTCCTTAGGAGACCCTAGTCCAGCTCTTGGATTGCCAAGTTCTCTGACATTGTGGATTTTATTTTTTTGCAGACTCCATCGGGGGTCCCTTCCCTGTCACCTCTCACCGATGCCACCACAAGCAGAAGCACTGCACGCCGGTGCTGCCCGGCGGGGTGCTCCTGGCCACGCCGCTGCTCTTCCACCCACACACCAAGGGCTCCCAGATCCTCATGGACCTCAGCCACAAGGCTGTCAAGAGGCAGGCCAGCTTCTGCAACGCCATCACCTTCAGTAACCGCCCGGTCCTCATCTACGAGCAAGTCAGGCTGAAGGTGGGGCTTCCCTCCCCGCTCTCTGTCACTGCATCCCCTTTATCCCCCCGACCTGTCACTGCTTTCTGTTACGGCCATTACTATACCCTGCGCCTTCTCTTTCCTCTCTGATGCCACTTCTGCCCTTCCTATTTCTGTTCCCTCTCCCTCACTCCTTTCTCAACCTTCCCTGCATGGCAAAGAAGGAAGGGGGGAGGGGAGTAGCCACGGGGACCATTAGCTTTCGCCAGGCTGGTGGGAAGGCTCCTGGGAGGGAAAGGAGCCCAAATGGTGGGCAAGCTGGGTAGTGTGACTCTCCACGGGCGTGTGCTGGGGGGAGGGGGGGCCTGCAGAGAAGGGCGCACGCCCTTCCCCTGGGGCTCCCTGAAGTGGGGAGAGGCTGGGCTGGGCTGCGGGCTGTCTGAGGCCAACCCCCTACCGTCCAGATCACCAAGAAGCAGTGCTGCTGGAGCGGGGCGCTGCGCCTGGGCTTCACGAGCAAGGACCCCTCCCGCATCCACCCCGACTCGCTGCCCAAGTACGCCTGCCCCGACCTGGTCTCCCAGAGCGGCTTCTGGGCCAAGGCGCTGCCCGAGGAGTTTGCCAACGAGGGCAATATCATCGCCTTCTGGGTGGACAAGAAGGGCCGTGTGTTTTACCGCATCAACGACTCGGCCGCCATGCTCTTCCTCAACGGGGTCCGCACGGCTGACCCGCTCTGGGCCCTGGTGGACGTGTACGGCCTCACGCGGGGCGTGCAGCTGCTTGGTGAGTGCCGCTCTCCTTGGTCCCTTAGGCGCAGGGCACACCTCCGGGTGCTGTGATTTGAGGGGGAGCTAAGACTCTTTTGGCTGCTCCCAGGCCTCCAGCATGACTCCCAATCCAGGATCCCTCCCACCTCACTACACTTGTGCACATAGACTATGGGTACACATCAGCCCATTGGTAAGTTGGCTGTGTCTCCAAAAGGAGCCTACATGCGCCTTAGCTGTCTCATCTGTAAAATGGGTTGGTGGGAAGATCGGATTCAGTTAAAGAGGCTGTGCCCAGCATGGTACTGGGTACCACGTCAGTGCTCAGCCAGTGCCTGTTCTTCCCACCTCCCATCCCTGCAGAGAAAAATGCCGTGGGTGGTGGAAAAACTTTTTTTTCCTTTCTGACTTCAGAGCCTAGAAGCAGTGAAGCCTTTCTTTTCAAAACACCCCTTTTTTTTAAAATTAGAAAAGCCTGGGTTGGGGGGGAAGAGGGCGGAGAAGAGACTGTGAATGTAAAAACAGAGAAACAAGTTGTCATCAGAAGCCTTTCTGTTTGTCGAGTTCTAAAAACAAGGAGGCTGTTTTCATTAATGAATAGTTTGGGAACTTTCTGGTTTTCAGCTCAGTAAAAGTGTTTTTACATTCACACTGACATGTTGAGACTCTTCTGAGTCTCAGCAATGAAGCAGAGAGCCAGCCAGGCTGCCCAAGGCTAATCTGCCTTCCATTCCTTCTGTTAAATGGTGCGCCTGCAGGGCTCCTACCTGCCAGCGACAGAAGGGGCAGTGACTATGCTCCTGGGCTACAGAGTCAGGCAGACCCAGGTTGGACCCTGGTCTTACCCTATTAGTATAACTAGTGCTATGACACCTCAGTTTCCTTGTCCCTAAAATGGGGGAATAACTGTTTTCAGGGTTCTTTTGAAGGCTCAAAGAGCTGACTGATGTGAAACAGTAGGCATCCAATGACTATCAATCATCTCCACTCATCTTGGAGTGGGCAGTGCTTAACCTAAGGTACAATGAGTGTCTTCCTGCTGCTCTGGTACCCTCAGGGCCCCACATTTGAAGGCACCGGGGTCCCAGAGCTTGAGTTTGCACTCCAGCCTGAACACTTCTGTCTGAGCCTCAGTCTTCTCATTTGTAAAGTGGTTGGGGGTACTATGACTTAGCCCAGGGCTTGGCCACATGATGGGAGACAAAAGAATATCTCAGCTTTTGAGAAAGTCACAGGCTTGTTGGGGGGAAGGAGTAAAGGAAGAGGGGGCAACATTCTTGTTTTTCTCTAAGCAAAGAATGCCCTTCTTCGCAGTCCCCAAAGATCAAAATCCCACTCGGGCTTCAAGGCCCAGCTCGTAAGCCACCTCCTCCCTGAAGCCTTCCACAGTGGGATTCTCTTCTTCGTTCCTTGTGTCCCACTGCATGGCACCTGCACTTCTCTATGTGCTGAGACATTGGCCAACCCTTGGTCCATCCGTATGCCTGCTCCCACATAAGATGGGGAGGGCTCTGAGGGAGGAACCCCGTCTTAACAAGCCAGCTTCCTCTCCAGAATGCATCTTGTGCCCAGTGTGTGGAGGATGCTGGCGAATATTTGCAGGGTGGGTAGGGGAGAGTGCTGGGATGGATGGATGATTTGTTAGATGAAGGTAAGGGTGTGGGGGGTCCTGAGGTAGACCCAGCCCTGCTCACAGACTGCCCCAGACTCACTGGGAATTGGGGAAGACAAAGCAAACACTCCAGATCAGTGCATAACCTAAGAGAAGACAGTAAATCGCTAAATGGTGTGGTCATAGGACCCCTTCCATCTGCCAAGATGCCTTCCCTCCAGTTATCTCATTTAGCCGCTTAGCAGCCGGCTTGGAGGGAATGATGTTCATCCTCACTAGACTGGGAATGAATTGAGGCCCAGGGAAGGCCTGGCTTGCCTGTGTAGGGATGCGGCGGAGCTGGGACTTGAACTGGGTGTTCTGATGCCAAAAGCAGTGCCTTTCCCATTGCCCTCCAGTGGGTTTAAGCATGAAAGGGGGCAGGAAGTCAGAGGCTGAGGTCAATGAGGGAAGATGGAATCCAGGAAGACTTTTTTTTTTTTTTAATATATCTTTATTGATTTCAGAGAGAGGAAGGGAGAGGGAGAGAGATACAAATATCAATGATGAGAGAGTCATTTATCAGCTGCCTCCTGCAAGCCCCCCACTGGGGATCAAGCCTATAACCGGGGCATGCGCCCTGATGGGAATCGAACCGAGATCTCCTGGATTATAGGTTGATGCTCAACCACTGAGCCATGCCCAGCCGGGCCAGGAAGACTTCTTGGAAGAGGAGGCTTAGGCTGGGCCTTCAAGTTCCAGGAAGTGGGGAAGGGGTGGGGATGAAGGGTACATGCCAGGGGATATGGGGCTTCCAAACCTCAGGGGCTGAGGGAGGGGCCTGGAGAGTAATCTGAAGGGCCCCACCCTGGGGCAGTGTCCAGACATCTGACCTGGCCCAACCGCATTCCCGCTCTGACTATATATGGGTTTTCACACAGCATTTTCAGTTTCACTTGGATTTCCAGACAGGCTCCTCTCTGTACACCTGATAAGGCTGAGGCCCCAGCTGATTCCTGTCCAGCTGTAAATCATAATCCCTGGGCATTTTCAAACACTGGTTATGGCCCCTAAATTCAGTTAGAGAGTAAAATATCTCTTCATTTTGTTCTTCCTAAATGGATTTTTTAAAAAGAGATCTATTGAAGGTATCTTCGGTGGTGGGCATGCTGCTCCGTGCCTTCCTTTGGTAACCTGCCCTCTGGGTATGCCCGCTGCCTCGTGCAGCCTTGGGGTCCGTTTTCCTCCCTCTCCCCTTCCCTTTCCTCCCCACTTCCCATGTCCCTCTCTGTACTTGCCAGCCCCTTCAATGCCCCTGTGTCCTCCTGAGCCTCCCTCCCTCCAGCCAGGTCCCTCTGGCTCCTCTGGATTTCCCTCCTCTCCCTCCTCTGAAGATGTCGCTCTATATTGGTGGCTCTGAGGATGGACCTAACTTTCCTGGGGTGATTGTCCTCCAAACCAGTGTCACATCTTTAGAGATTTCCTGCCCAGTCTGCCCCTTCCCCTCCTGCCCTTTCTGGAACCTGTGGTCAGAGCCCCCAAACCCCACCTGGCCAGTATCTGCTCCTCAGACCAGAGACACCCTGGGGTACCTGGCGCATAGTAAGTTTGAAAGTTAGGCCATGGACAGATTGGCCACCTCTCCTGACAGAGTGGAGGCAGGGCTGGTGTCTCTCCTTGATTGACACCTCTAGGTGCGTGTGCACCCCTGCCTCCCCCACCCTAACTATAGCCCAGGCCCACTGGTCCCCACGCCATGGCCCCAACCCACCTGCTTCAGGCCTTCCAGGCTCCCGTTATGCAGATCACCCTCCTCCCTCGGGGCGCCCTGGCCCAAGCCTGGCTGGTATCTCCAAGAATAACAGCTTCCTACCTCCAGGAAGAAGGACCTGCCAGCAACTAAATAAATACAAGTTTTATGGGGTGATTAATACTTGGAGAGATAAGCTTCTATCCCAGTTTTTCAAACTCTCCCTGCTCCTCTCAGAAGTGTTGGCTCAGGAAGAGCAGCCATGTTTCCTGGCAGAAAGCTTGTGAGCCAAGATCTGCTTACAGGGTGCTCCTGAACACCCCTCTGTGACCACCATAAGCACTGTGCAGGGGTAGGGGGAGACACAAGTTGGAAACCCCTCTCCTTGAAGAGTGTTTACATTGGGGGGCACACCATATAACTGTTCTGAAGTGACCTAAATCCAATTCTGCAATTAAGTGTGGCTGAAGAGTAAAACTGGGGTGGGGGGGGTGCAGCTGGGGAGCAATCCAGGAGGACTTCCTGTAGGAGATGAGTTTCAAGTCAGGAACCAAAGGAGTTAGAAAGAATGGACTGGTTGAGGAGGAACAATTTAGGCCAGACAGGAGGCTGTGCATAGGCATAGAGGTAGGGAATTAGCAGTCATTCAGAGAACAGATCCTTCATGGAAGGGGTGAATTGGAAAGGTAGTGGGTGACTTGTGGAGAAGGGGTGTGCACAGGTGGGGGATCCATGAAAGTAGAAAGTTTCCAGAAGCTTCTGTGCTGTCGAGTTTCTCAATAAGAGGAAATGTTCGCCCAGAGTTGGGGAGAGGCCTTCCCAAATTCTCCCAGCCAGTCAGAAGCCAGGCCGGGCCTGGAATTCAGATCTCCCAGGCTGATCTGGGCATAGGTCAACGTGAGAAGATTTATTGCCACATCAAAATGGCAGTGGCTGGGTGAAAATGGAGGGCATTAGGTGGGGGCTCCCAAGGGCATGTGGCTTTCTGCGTCTTTCCAATGTCTGCTCAGGTTCCCAGACATTCTCAGGATCTTGGTAAAAGATCTCCTACTAAGGAGAGAGAGAGAAGTATGGAGACTCTTAGTATAAACTCTCTGAGGGCCAGGCTGCTGCTGGGCCAGTCCCTGGGGTGGCGCGCCAGCCTGGCTGCCCTGTAGGGAGAGGCCTGGGCCTCTCTGTAGGTAAGCCCTGGGTCGGTGCCCTCTCCAAGCTGTGCCTAAGGTTGGCCGTTCAAAGAGCGTGAGCCATCCCCGGTTGGCTGAGGACCACACTGCCATCTGCGGCTTCCGCTTCCCAGGCTAAACCAATATTTACCTTCAACTGTGGCTGCCAGGGGCTGAGAGGCAAATATTAGTTTAAGGAGCCTGAGCCAAGCTCTTGGGATGGAGAAAAAGCTGAGGATGCTGATCGCAATTTCTTCCTTTTGACAGTTTTCAATTTCTTCTTGATTCATAAATTTCCTTGCTTTTCCTTCTGCCTCAGAGACTCTTCCAGGCACTTTCTTTCTGCTCACCCCAAATTCTGCCAGTTATATCAGGGCCCAACCCCAGACTCTCCCTTCTGCCAGGAAGACTTCCCTGACCTCCTCCTTTCTCCTTTTGACTATTTGAAGCACATGCAGGTCAAAGTATTGTGCTCTTTAAGAAGACAGCGTAAATCCTCTTTGTACATACTA